AAAAAAAAAAAAAAAAAAAGAATTTAAAGTGTCTTCACCCACAAGAAAGAAAGCCTGGACTTTTCTTGAACAAGATACGCCTCAGAACTGAATCAATATTTCTTTTCCTTAAAAAATACTTTGTCATTGGGATCAAACCAAAAGGAGTTATATTTTTCTGCAACAATCCTTTGAGCTTTCCTGTTTGAATTTGCTTTGTTTAAAAGGAGGTGATGGTGTTGTAATCTTAAAAATTTGGTCCTAACTATGGAATTGACTTAAGTAGTAGAGGTAAGTGATTCCTGGATAAACTATCCAGCAAATGGTAACCGGAAGAAATTTATTCCTTTCTTTAATGAGTGTGGATTTCAATCTGTAGGCAACAAAGATAGAGGGAAAAGGGGATCAGAGAAGGGCAAGAGGATGGAGGAACAGGGAAGTGTAGCTGTACAACAAGAACTGCAGCCTTGCTGGTGGGTGGGACCTGGTGGAGGAAGTGATGTCTGATTCCTCTGTCAACCAGACCCATTTCCAACTGGCTTTGTGAATCCTAGGTGGGAGCCCCAACAAAAGGATGATGGCATTTACTTGCCTTTAAATTATTTTAATACCTGGCAGAGGAAAATGCAACACTCGGACAACAGCCTTAAAAATAGCATCCTGCCTGCATTGTTAAGACCATGGCAACTGACACATTCGGCCAAGTTCTTAAGGTGAAGTCTCAGTAGGCCAGTCCAGGTGTAATCTCACTCTGGTGAGTTGACAGCAGGAGACGAGATGAAAGATAAGGGGCAGATCTGAATAATAAATCACTGTTACTGGGCACCATAACACAGATAAGAAAATTTCCCCATCCTGTGCGGGCTTGCCCTCCTGCACAAGGAACGAACTACAGGACAGGATCTCAAACACACACCTATAGATGCATCTTGCAGGAAGCGTGCACCCTTCAACGAAAGATCCTCTTCTGCACTTCCTATGCAGCCCGGCTGAAATGGATGAGGTCTCAAATCTGGTAAAGATGGTCTTTCCCTTGATTTTTGGGTGGGGAGTGGGAAGTGAGACAGTGGTGGGCCCGAGTTTATTTTTTAAATCATTTATTTTCTTGGTTCTGTCGATAAATGCAATCGTATCTCCTTTTCCCCTTCACTCTCTGTTCTGGGCTACCTCCCGAAGAATGAAAGGATCTGGAAGTCGCATTTCTCCCCCTCAGCTAAGCCTGCCTCTTCTCCCCTTCCCAGACAGCCGCACACAGCACCTGGAGCCCCAGCATCGCCGACGTCCGACCCCGGCGGGGGGCGCAGCGAGGGCGCCGAGCTGCCGCCTTTCTTTTTCCAGCTGCACAGATTTAATTTTAATTAATCGTGAGAGCTACAGCACTGAGGATTGAATTTTCGAAATAGAGCACACCCTGCTTGTTTCTTTCTTTCTTTTTTTTTTTTTTCATTTCCCTTCTACCCTTTTCTCAATGGCATCGAAATGTAAAGAAATGAACGAGGAGTCTCACCCACACCTGCCCAGGGACCGGCGCTGGCGGAGGATGCGGACAGCGGGTGGGGAGCGGTCCTGGTCCGGAAGGATGCAGGTCTGCAGCGGCGCGCGGGCGGGGCCGGGCCGGAGAGGGGGCGGGGTCCCGGCGGTCACGTGGACTCGGGCCCCGCCCCGCCCTTGCCCCGCCCTTCCGCCTCTTGTTATCCGGCAAAGCCGTGGGGTATGCTCTCGCGTCCTCTGGCATTCGGCTGCAGGGATGGCGGGCTGGGCTAAGGGCAAGAGCGTCCTGGCGCCTGGTTTGCTGCAGGGCCAAGTGGCCATCGTCACCGGGGGGGCCACGGGCATCGGAAAGGCCATCACGAAAGAGCTCTTAGAACTGGGTACGTGAGCGGGCCGCTGGTGCAGAGACGTGGCTGGGGTGACCTGGGGTAACCCGGGGTCGGGAGCCAGGGGCTCTCGGCGGGGCTTGGGGAGTGTGGAACTGCAGAGCAGAGCGGGGGCAGGTGAGCGCGAAATTACGACCACTAGGGGTACAGAAGAGAGCAGCTCTTCCTAAGAGCTAGTTTTTAGCCACTGGTTAAAAACTAAAGGGACCACTGAGGCCAAAGAGACTGTGCCTGAGGTAGGCAATAAGAAGACCAGTGAGAAACATGCTGTGCAATTAGTTTTATATTCAGATTTAAATTAATCCATTCTATATGTTTAATTTGAGTGATTGGGAAACGTGGGAAGACTTCATTTAACTGGAAACCGTTGTAAACGTACTGGGAGTCTCTCATAGTATCTTCTCACATCTCTTAACATAACCCCAGCAAGGAAGTATACTGAATATTTACCTTAACTTGGGTGAAGGCCTTTGTAAACACATAAATGAGAGAATAAACCACAAAGGGGAACATAAATAAATCTACCTATATGAAGATGTAAATCCTTATTGAATTTTTAAAAAATAAAGTTTAAGGGCATATGAAGAAAAATGTTTACAACATAAGATAAATTGTTGTTGGTTTTGAGATAGGGTCTCACTCTGTTGCCCAGGCTGGTCTCGAACCCCTGGGCTCAAGGGATCCTCCTATCTTGCCTCTGACTCCCAAAGTGTTGGGATTACAGGCTGCACCACTAGACTATATATATATAGTCTTATATATAAAGAGCTCTTACAAATAAAGAAAAAAAGCAAACACATTGATAGAAAAATTAGACTAATGATATGGACTAAGTGTTCCAAAAGAAGAACTACAGACAGGCAAGAAACATATGAAAAAATAATCAATTTCATTGGTAGTAAAATATAAAATACTGTCAGTAAGCTGTCATTTTTCTAACAAAATTTTGAAACATTGGGAAAAATTAAAGTGTTGATGCAGAAGTGAGAAGGCAGGCAGGAATGTAAATTATTACAAATTCTCTGGAGGGCAGTTTGGAAAAAAGGATCCAAAGTCTTCACAATGTTCATGCTCTTTGGCAGTAATTCCTTTCTCAGTTATTTAAGGAAACAGAAACAAGCAAAGATTTTCATGCAAGGAAAATCATATTTGAGTGGTGAAAAAATGGAAATTACCTGAAAGTCCAATATAAGGGAAATATTTAAATCAATAACAATGAAATATAATGTTACCATTTAAATATCTTGCTATTGGTACTGGCACAGTGGCTCATGCCTGTAATTTCAGCACTTTGGGAGGTTGATGCAGGCAGATAACCTGAGGTTAGGAGTTCGAGACGAGCTTGGCCAACATGGTAAAACCCCATATCTACTAAAAGTACAAAAGTTAGCCTGGCATGGTGGCGCACACCTGTAGTCCCAGCTACTTGGGAGGCTGAGGCATGAGAATCACTTGAACCTGGGAGGCAGAGGTTGCAGTGAGCTGATACCATGCCACTGCACTCCAGCCTGGGCAACAGAGTGAGGCTCCATCTCATTAAATAAATAAATAAATAAATAAATGTCTTGCTATTGAAGACTTATTTGGAGAAATGAATACCATATATTGGGAAAAGCAGGATTCTAAACCTAATAGCATTCCAATTTTACTTTTAATAAGAAATATATAGGCTGGGCGTGGTGGCTCACGCCTTTAATCCCAGCACTTTGGGAGGCCAAGGCGGGTGGATTATGAGGTCAGGAGTTCAAGACTCAGCCTGGCCAAGATGGTGAAACCTGTCTCCACTAAAAATACAGAAATTAGCTGCGTGTGGTGGTGGGCGCTTGTAATCCCAGCTACTTGGGAGACTGAGGCAGAGAATTGCTTGAACCAGGGAGGCGGAGGTTGCAGTGAGCAGAGATTGCACCACTTCACTATAGCCTGGGCAACAGAGCAAAACCCCATCTCAAAAAAA